TGAGATACAAGAAGAATAATTCGCTAGAATCTATCAAATTCGCCTAGATCTATTTTAAATACATCTTATTTAATAAATAAATATCAAAATAATTAATTTTGAAAAGTTCTTTGGATTCTCTTGAACCAGTACCCGCTTTCCTCCGATAAAGAGGTGTCGGGTGGCGAGGAATATATTTCTGCTTAACATCATCTCAAATCTAAGAACCAAAAAGTTTATTTTTACGATAGAAGAGAATGGTTGAAGGACTAGTCAAAATTTTGATTTTTGATAAAATTATGGCTTCTAAAAAAAGTAGTTTTTTATGAAAAAATCTACACTTTGAAAAATCGATCAATATGATTTCCGAATATTCCATTAATTTAAAGAAAAATTAGAGAAATGGCAAAACCTTGTGTAAAAGCAATTAATATTTCAATTCGGAGAGTCAAAAACCTTTCAAAAACTGCAACATCTCAAACAAAGTTTCCGGCACGAGCTGAACTACAATAAGGCTATCTATAAGAGTATCTTTAAACAAACGATTTAGAGTTGCTTCTATATGAATCTTTCACCGTATTTTTGTGTGTACGTAAATAATTATTCATTGTAGTCATAATGAAATCGTAAAACTGTCAGCACAACAAAAAATAATATCCTGACAAATCAACAACTATATACTCGTAAAAGCATGTGCGTGTGTTTGTATGTATATACATACAAGTATGTATGTTCACATAGTAAATTATACACATTTACATAAATGACTCATTCGCACGCTTGTGGTTAGACATAACTCATAAAACGAGCGTTCACCAATTAAACTTCGCATTTTGGAGTTAACCGTTTATTTGCTGGTTTTCTGTTTTGGTTTCAAAGCCATTAGCTAGTTTATATAACGACTGTAATGCCTGGGCTAATGCTTTTGGCACAGCCTATGGTCAATGTCATGGCCATGAAATGCTTTTAGTCAATATTTAGTGCTAGCAAATTGTGGGTGAGAGCGTAGAGGTGTGCATGTGTTGGTGTAAGCTGTATTGATGGTAGAAAATTTAGAAACAAATTTGATTGACTTGTTAATGATTAAAAGTTGTTATTTGTATGGCATGATGACTATAAAAAATTTTATGTTCGGAAATTTTAGTACACTCTCATATAAATACAATATTACAACAACAAAATATAACACAGCATTTATTACTACAATTATACTCTCACAGTTGCATGCATATATGTATGTAAGTAGGTATGTGCGCTTAAATTACTTCCTCATCGAATTGAATTTCTTATATAATGTATTTTGTATTATGAAACAGAAAATAATATACAAAAATATATAAAAAATATTTTTAAAAAATTAAAAAAAGTATTGAAGAAAAAAATTATAAAAAAATTAAAAAAAAATTTTTTTTAAGTTATAAATAAAAATATATATTACTAAAACTCTTTCAAGGCATTTAACTAGTAATTTCCACCACAAAGCAGTTTCATGCAGCGGCAGTACTTTGTGAGTGTCACTTGTCACTTATATGCGTATGTAGCTGTAGATATGTATGTAAGCGTGTAAGTGACTTAAAGTAAACCTAAACAAGCGCATGATTGCACTTGAATATTTGCACGCTTATCATCAATATATACATACATACATATTTAAAAACTATACATCTTCATATAATTTGCTCTAGCCACTTAGTTGGTTACAAACTGTGGTTATATGCGGAATCGATATCGGATGTTTGAAAATCAATTGAGCATTTCAATTCAATTTATTAGAATGCATTTACGTAACACTATATGAACAATAAATACATACAAACGGTAGTTTGAGTGCATTAGGGTAGCACTTAAGCACTGGGTAAGAAAAAATTCGAATAATAATAGTTTTCAAAAATAGTATATTAATAAAATATTATAATTTTGTTGCATTTTTTGCATAATGTTTGTCAATTTTATTATTTACTTTCGCATCAAAATTCATTGTATGATGAAACTTCTGTGTTATCTCACAGTTTTATTGCATACTTTCAAGGTTACTTATACGCCAAGGAGGGTTAAATATTTTGAATTTCCTTATATTTCCATCTACAATAAAAATTTCAATTTAGGGATGACTATAGCATAAAGTAACTTGGATGTTATAACATTTTTTTATTGTGCTCACATTTGAGGTTACGTATACGCAGTGGCGCTCTCGCTTTATAATGGTTCGCATGGATGTTTGCGCTTTTGGCGAAATCTTGATATTACAGTTACGCGCTTTTAATTCTATTGTGACAGAATAAGAATATATAATAATACAATATATAAAAGAATTAGCTCAACATTCTCGATGTACACTTGAATATTCTGTCTGAATAATTGAAATGTACAGCTTCTTTTTTTCGTTTTTTTTTTTTGCAAGAATCACTTTGTTTTATAGAAATAAAGTTTAGGGTCTTATATCCAAAATTAAAATGTCAATAATTTTATATTTGAGACGTAATAATTTTCAAAATTTATCCCTCATGCATGATGTATGTGTCCGACTGCTTTGTTGTCTTTGTCTAAATCATATTTCTCGAGAAGTTCGATTCAACTTGTCATCCTAGCAACACGTTTTTGAGCTGGCTGACATATTTTCGCTGAAATTTGCGTGAATGACAGTTTCTAAATATATGTATGTGATATAAAGAAATGGATAAGATAATCCAGAGACAAAAATCAGTCAGCAAACCATTTGTCATCGAGTTTACTTTTTGCATTCTAGTCCCATAAAGTATTTCTCTCTAGTAATGGCTCTAGTTAACAGCGAATTTTAGAAACTTTCTCTCACTTTCACTGTCTTTCTCTCTCACTCGCTTAACATAATTCTCGCTCTATTTATTTCTTACCCTATTTATATCTTTCTCGCTCTCTCTCTCGGAAGGGTTTATTGTTCTCACGATCTGGAGAAATTTGTTGCGTGTAGTTAAGCTTCAACGTTGAGGTTAGGATGTAATAATTTGATGTGATTTTGTGTTGAACGGAGGCTTAGCTTCAGTGAACATCGACATAAATATATCAAATGTCATTCTATAACGCTATTTAGACTTTGGGTAGAAAAGAGTTATAAAAGTCAAGTCAAGGGACTTTAATTACTGAATGGATGGCGGACAACAACTTTTTAGCATCTTATTGAAGATTTCAAGTTATGGGTAACCTTCTGTTACTCGTAAATTTTAATAATATGGTGCACAACCTTCGAAATTTTAACCTAGTAGAGGCAGTTGAGTAGCAAAACATCAAAAAACGCGAAAAAGAGTTAATCATACTATATATAATACTACATATAATACTAAAATATACCGTAACTTTATTTTCAATAAAAGTCCCCAAAGTCCAACAATAAATAATAATATTTTTTACAAATTTTTAAAGATTTTTTTATTTGTGAAAAGACGTCCTTTATAGTAGATATATAATATATAAATTTATGTATGTATATAAAATATGTGAACTAAGTAACTTGTGATATTTACACGGCATAATCATTCCGGGAAATGTCTAATATAACAATGGAATACCGCTAATTACCTTGAAGGTGCCCATTTCCCCTGTCAAGAAATTTATTTCGAGTGTAAAGCTTTATTTATAGCACACTTTAATGGGCAAAATGATCAATGACGAGAAATGTGCATCGCCAAAAGTCGATAAAAATGCATATGTATGTATGTATATAGGGACTAAAATTATAAAAAAATAAATAATATAAAATATAATTAAATTATAATAGCAAATGAGTATGTCTAAAAAAATTATATATTATATAATATTTATATACATATGTGCAATATTAAACCGTTATATATGCCCGTTTGTACTAAAAGAGGTGTGAAACTCTGATTTCAACTATGGAAAATTGCTCACTATTAAAATTGTTGTTGTCTTTGCCGGCGAATTGTATTAACATAGGGTATACACATACATACACACATACCTTAGGACAAACTGAAGGTTAGTCATTCGTTTTATAAATTATATAGTATGTTTACATCTATCCATAAAAATGTTTGAATGTGTGTGTGTGATAGCATTTTACTAGATCCATAGGAAATAAATAGCAGTGATAGGCTTAAACGAAAATGGCACGCGACACGCTATGCTCATAACACTAGTCAACATAAGATTTACAACTGGATTGACGAGATTAAATTTTGTATTTTGCTAATCCTTTGCAATCGTTATACAGTGATAACTAAAAAATTTATTACGTCAAGCAAATCTTTGTCGGTAAACTGATAAATTTTAGACTCTACTAAAACCTAACTTAGTGGCTTAACCAAATATAGATCTCTGATTAACTAAGAAGCTGGTGTGGAAGCTTAATGACGCAATGAAAGTTCTGCTCAAAACGGTAGATCAAATATATAATATTAGATAAAGCCTCTATTTCAAAAGGACTAGTACTGGCCCGATTCCGAAATCGACATATAGATAAAAAATAATGGACTTTTAACGTAAAAACCTGCAGAATAAACCTCTCACAGTGTCAGTGAAAGAACATAGCGGGATTTGCGAGAGTGTTTGTCCTGCACCTCGAAAATGTGAACAGAAATGTATAGATATAACTGCTTGAACGTGTACTCTATTTTATTTTTATAGTAAGGCAGAAAACATACACGAAATAGCTTTGAAGTATGCTATCAAGTTCATAGTCCTCGGCCGTAAAAAAAGTTTGGATTGGTTCCGATTACATAGCACTGATATATATACTTATTACATATACAATCTTTTTCTAGTTCTGTCTCTTTGCTGCTCTCAAAGAGCAGTATGCAATTATTTGAATCAAGAGAGCAGTTGACAGTTCCACATAATCACTGTCTAGCTCTGTCTCTACTTCTTCTCTGCTCTCAGAGAGCAGTATGTAGTCATTTGAAGCAAAAGAGCAATGAAAAGCACTAATTTTAAAGCATTTTTGTGAAATGAGTATAGAAATCAAGTTAATAAGAGGTTGTATGAAAAAACTGAAGGATACTAACCTAAAATGAAAGTGCTCGAAAATTATGTTAGAACAAACGTTGAAAAAAAATATAAAAATTCTATAAGAATTACTATTCCACTTAAATGAATGGAGGCTCTTTGAAGCACTTTTGACTATCTAAAGTCTTAAATAAATATAAATTCAGTCAATGTTTTGTAAAATGCAGGCAAGAAACTGAAAAATTTAATTATTGTATTCAAAGTTGTATATTTTTGTTAATCACTGTAAATGGCACAGCCTCTTCATTCCTTGATTATTCGTCGTTTTATTAGCGTATATGCGAAAATATGGAGATGAGCAGGTAGATATGCTTTTGAGTGAGTGTCAGTGTGTGTTGCTAAGGCGTTGATGGCGATTGGAATTTATTCATAAGCACACAGGCACATACCTACTTATTTACATACAAACCTGCAGTTAGTATAGGCTGAGGCGCTCATTTAGTCTTAGCGCGCAGCTAATGATCAGCGACTTGGCAGTTCGCTCGTTTATCTTAAAGTCAGTGAATCGCATTTATTCTGTAATTGATCGCAAGTCTAGCTGGTTGACAAATCGGGTTGTGTCGCTAATACGAACTATGAAAAGGACGTAGCGTCATCAGACATTGAACGGTATACATTCATACATACATATATACTTGTATATCTACAGCACGTCGGTAAATATGTGAGTGTGTGTAAATATGTGTCGATTTAGTTGTCCTTAAAAATGTGTGAAATGGGAAAAATTGTGGAGCGATAAAAAATACAACAAATTAAAGATAAAAATAATAATAAAAATGCGTAAATTTAAAACAAATTATATTAGTTGGAAAAGTTTTAATTTGTAAGAAATTATAAGTATTGCTTAAACAATATAAAAAAACTTATTAATACATATATATTCAAAAAAAAAAAATAGAATTATAAATAAATATCGATTGATAAAAACTAAAAATTAAAAATAATTTTAATAACATACACTGAATTTCAAAAATAATGAAAATCCTTATGAAGTCCTTGAAACGAAATTTCAAGTAATTTGTGGGTTCTTTTTAGCAAGAATTAAAAAATATATGATATTTGAAAATAAAAATATTAAAAATTTTTAAGCAAATTTTATTTAATTTTTAAACAAATTTTTTTAAATTTTTAAACAAATTTTTTTTAATTTTTAAACAAAATTTTTTAAATATTATTGTCTTATACATTTTTTTTTAAAGAATCTATAAACTAATTTTTTTTTTCTAATTAGCATTTTATTTTTTATTAAAAAATATTAAATACAACTAAAACAATCAAATATACTAAATAATTTACATTATAGAAAAAATTTATAAAAACTGAAAATTTACAAAATACACATTACAAATATAAATACATAATACAATAAATATATCATAAATTAAATTAATGATATACAAATACAAAAAAGACGAAAATGTATTAAAAAAACAAAAAAGTAATAAAAAAATATTCAAAATTCAAGGACTAGAAATGCTTAAATTGCGCTCAAAATGGAATTAGAAAGCAATTGGCCATTTTTCTCATACTAAATTATAAAAGATTATAAAATTAATTCCAAAAAACAAATAATTTAAACACATGTAAAAATTATGAAATATTTAATAAAAAAAAATAATAATTTAATTCAGAAATTAAAAAAAAAAAACTCTTAATAAAAATTAAAAATAAAAATATATTTTTTAAATACATAACATATAAGGTATAATAAAACGTATGTAATACTATATAAAAAATTAAATTTAAACAATATCATATTATAATTTACAAATAAATAAATCTTGGCACTAAACAATTTAATTTTAATATTTCTGTATAATAAAATGGAGAAAAATCTTTAAAAAACGTAAGAAATAAAACTAAAAAAAAGTTAACAAAATATTAAAAAAAAATCTAATTATAATTTAAAATTAAAAAATAAACAAAAAAAATATTAATAAACTAAAATAAAATAAAGTTCTGCTTTGTTTTAGTGTTACAAAAAATTACAAAGAACCTATGTAATTAAATACAATACGAGAAACATTTACCGAAGCTATAATACCCTTTTCAAATACAAAAAAGATTTCTTACAACAACTTGATTTCGATCGATTCATTTGTATGATAGCTATATACATATATTTTATGATGATTAAAGCTGAAGATATATTCGTAGATTATAGCGTTACTTGATACAATAACCTATGCCAAATTTCTTAAAGATATCTCGTCAAATGAAAAAGTTTTTCATACAAGAACTTGGTTTTAATAGGTCTGTTTTTCGGCAGCTATATCCTATTGAAGCCCGATATCGCCAGTTCCGGCAACTTCTTGTGGAAAAAAAAACGTGGGCAAAATTTCAGATCGATAACTCAAAAATAGAGGGACTAGCTCGCGTATATACAGACAGACGGACATAGTTAAATCGACTCAGTTCGTCACGCCGATCATTTATATATATAGTTTATAGGGTCTTCGACGTTTCCTGGCTGTCAAACTTAATATACCATTTTAGGGTATAATTAAATAAATAATAATAATAATAAAATATGTTAATTAATTAGAATATCATAATTAATAAATAAACAAACAATACTAAAAAGTTAAAATTGGTTTTCCAAGCCTTTTAAAAAATATGAATATGGAAATAATAAAACTCGCGAATGAAAAACAAAAAAATATTACAAAATGCCTGTGCTCCTTCGTATGAACTAATTTGAAACTCATTAGCGCCTGTTGCTTGTGAAACGCTGCTAAAATAATAGAATAATTGCTTTCATTTACCCTTAATTTGCCTTTCAGTGCATACGCCAGCAAACTATGACAATCTCACAGCGATACAAAGTGAGATGAGTTGAAGCATTTTTTTTATTATCCACTGTGATTATCATAATGCTGGATAAATACATAAATCTACTATTGCCATGCAGTCTGGGATTGATATGGATTTGGTAAGTGAGCTCATGCATTATCTTTTGTTTACATATACAATTCCCGGTTGACAACACTTTGCATAAAGTGACAGTGTAACAGTGGTGGCTAAAAATATGAGTGTTTGTAAATATTATGAAGAGAATTTGTCGTTAACCTAATAAGAGGTTAATTGGGAAAGTTGAGGTTCTCACAAATTTTTTATGAGCTATAGCGGAGCTGGTTCTAAAACAAAGGATGGACCAATGGGCGGTGAATACTTACTCTGGTGATTGTTGTGTTTTTTTTTGAGAAAGAATCAGTACTACTTTCAGGAAATAAAAAAGTGTCCCTTTTTCCCTCTGGTAGCCTTACCAACTGAAGTAATTTTTTATGATTTTATGTTTCTATGATAAAGTTTATGGAACCTTAGAACCATTGCCTAGTAAACTACCTTTTTGGACTTTTGAGCGACCTGCAGGTTCTTTTGCTTTCTTGGACATACAACCGTAGGTCGGTGTGGGTTGAGAACACAAAACTTCGCCAGTTTCCTCTATCCTTTCCGAGGTCACGTCAGTTGTACATACTAGATTTAGACAGGACCCTAAGGATATGGTTTTTCCATTAGAAAAAGCCCTTGCTTCCACCCATGGGTTTCGAATCGAAGGAACTTTTACCTGAGCATCGTCTTCCTTGCGTACGACATGTCCTAACGCAGAGGATTTAGACGCTTAGCTATATCCATGTCATGTTAAAGCTCATACAGTTTGTGTTTTCTTCGGTACCCATCGTTCAAATGGACGTTTTCCTAGCGGAGAACAGTTCTCTCAAATGCTTCAAGTACTTTCTCATCTCCGTCCGTCATTTTCCATGTTTCTGCCCCACGGGAATGATAAGAGACTTATAGAGCGCAGTTTTTGTTCGTCAAGAGAGAGATCTACTTCTTAATTGCTACCAATTCCAAGGTAGCACTTATCTTAATATAATATCAGAACTTGTTATCTATCAAAACACTGCAAGCTCTGCACCCGAGTTCATGAATTCATATTCCGGCGACAGAAAAGTGTTTTATAAGAAGGCGGCTGAGAACTTTTGAGTTCATGCTTCGTAGAATAAAATTAAGTGGGCACCTCGAAAAGTATAACCAAATCTTGAGCTACGGTGTAAGAATGCAAACATCCAAATTTTTTTTTTTCAAAATGAGGAAAAAATCATCTCAAACTCACAGAAAGTAAACGCTCCAAACAGCGGCTCTTTATTTCTATTAAAATTTTGTCTTGTTCAGTCTAGCAGTAAACCACAAGAAGACAGAAAAACTTTGACCTGTTCCCAGTCAGATCATACTGAGACAAGATAGTTAGTTTTTCAGAATAGATTTTGAAGTTTCTAAATTAGTGGTGTTTCGAACTTCGATACTGTTTATTCATAGTCTGAAGAAAGCAGACAGGTTGAAATAAAGCATGTAGGGTTTACTCGGTCGTTGCAAATGTGAACTGGAAACATGGACCTCCCATATACATAAACCATCCTTAAAAGGCTATGATGCTTTTGTACTGCCTATAACATTTCGGAACAGTTCTACATTTAGGAAGTGAATATTTTATAAGAACATATCGATTTTTTCAGTATACTGTCGCTTAAAAATTACTGTATTATATATTCTGGAGACATTTTTAATGAAGTCGTAAGCGACACCATAATTCGAAAACTGAAAGAGAAACTGCTTTGCTTATTTTCAATTCCTACTTTTAATCTTTTATATTCATTTTAGTATAGTATATAAATATATATATCCACAGGCTGACTGATTCAACGGATGCCTTAATGAACTACACGGCAAAACCTCGTGTAGTCCTTCCACCTAATTATGTCAAGGGTGAGCATTTGAAAACATACGATTTTTAACAAATATATGCATTTTCGGAAGTTTTTACTCAACAGAAATGAGACCACCTTCCAAGAAAGGCTCTCCAGTGATAGTAGACTTTAGCATATTTGTTGTAGATATTAACTCAATCAATGTAGAGGATATGGACTTTAGGTAAGTGAAAATTCAAGGGACTTACACAAGCACTTTTACGACAACAATAACAATAAACACATATTCCATAACATTTTCAGGGTAGATATGTTTATACATCAACGTTGGAACGAATCACGGCTCGAAGTCTCCGATGATATATTCGAGGAGGGCGATGATTATGTGACACTACTTCCAGAATTCTTCGATAATCTTTGGCAACCGGATCCATATTTTTTGAATTCGAAAATTGCCGGTAAGTGCGAACCTTGCATATCATTTGACTTGCATATTTTGTAGTGATGTTTATGTTTGCGTGTGTGCGTGTGTACGTTGTTTTGTGACACACTGTTTTATGTATGTAGATTTGAGATATTGCTAAGATTTTCATTGCAAACACATACTCAAATAAACATTGTTTCTGTTATATAATTCATTCCTATTTACAAATGCTTATTTGCTATATTACACCAGGGTGGTCCATTTTTTTTATAGGAACAAAAATTTAGGTTATGGTTTTTAAGGTTTTGTACCTACTTATACTTATATATGTAAGATTTGAGTGTTTATATATGTTTGAACTTTATTTTTTAAATATACTTATATATATATATTCCCGTTATGGTAATCAAGAATTATTTAAAGTCTTTACCAATCCTTTCACAAATACTAAAAGGACAAAAACTGTAATTCTTTGAAAACTATTTAGTTCGGTATCGACAACATTGGGATCGACGTTAGATTAGACCCTAATTTATTTTAAGTTGTCGAGTTTTTATGAAAGTCTATGGACAAGAGAATATACTAAATAATGAACTATAGAATAGAACGATACCGAAAACAGTTAAGCATATGCCTTGTAAAAGAAACTCTACTAAACTCAGTCACAGACCATTCTAATGAGTCTTAGTCAGTTCCCAAAACGTAAGAAGCAAGCTCTAAGGCCTTGACCGTATTGTCATTAAGTTAAATCGATGTTACCAAGGATTTCTTTACATTAGAACTATTAACGGTTGTCTAAGTATGTTATATATTGGCTGTCACAGAACAACGGTTGATGGAGCTACGGAAACTTTCAGTCGAAAATGCATCGTAGGTGGAAGTGGGTTTTAAACAAAAATCTCGACTAGTCCTGATTGCAGCAGACTGTAGGCATACTTCTTCGATAAATTTTTATAGAGAAATACATATATACGTATTTCCTAGATCCCAAACACTATATCCTAAATGTATGTACCTCACCAGTAGTTGAGTTCCGATGAGTTATTTCATTAAGCGTATTTCATTGACTTTTTCATAAAATGGACACTATTTAGACTTGTCATGACTTTCATGAAATTTCGCTTGAATTATTGGCCACGACAACGCTACAATCTCCAAAAAAAATTGTTTAGATTGGACCCCTATATTGCCATACGAACTGATCGGTCAAAATTAATTAATTTTATTTTATTATTATTATACTTTTTTTTCGGACCACCCTAATGTGTATATTTATTTTGGATTTCATGTACTTCTGTGTGTGCGCATAGCGGATTTATTGTGCCACGTGATTTTATTGTTTTTATTTTTGTTACTGTTTTACATCGCTTCTCTGTCAGTTTGTCAAACTAGTGCCGTTTGTAGCTGTGTCAGTCAGTCTCACGTGGGTGGGTGGGCGTTTTCAGGTTAACTTCACTTCAAGTTCAAAACGTTTTGTTTGTAATGTGCTTTGTTTTTTTATTGGTAATTGCATAATCATCAGCGTTTTCACGTCATTCTCGCCTTGAAAGAGCGAAAAAATCAGCCATGCAAAAAAAAAAACAAATACGAATCGTCGCTTCTGAATGGTTTTCGAGTATGCGCAGTAGAAATGGCAAGGTTTTTGGTGTTTTTGTGAAAAAATTTAAAACATTGTGTTTTTGGAGTTTTTTATAAAAAAAAAACCCACAAAACATTGTTTGTTAAGAAAACAATATATGCCTCTACAGCGCTTATTGGAAAACCCTTTGTCTATTATTAATTATGCAAAATTTTTCTTCTCATTTATTAATTGAATTTTTCGCAATCTTTATTACTCGTATTTTATCAATTTTGTATTAACCACGTGCTTCGTACGCTAGGATTCGGCAGCCCTTATATAACTTCTGGCTCTCTACTGCGCGACAAGGATCAAAGAGAGGCGAAAAACTTTCATATCAATAAAACATTAAGTATACAAATAAAAAAATGAAATTCCCAAATGATGTGTTTTTTGTTTTTGTTTTATTTGTGTGATTTAAACTGCAAGCACACACCCACCTACATACATACATATCAACATTTAAATATATATCTACATACATAACTGCATTGTAAACAACACAAATGTACTGTCCGGGCTGATAAGTGTTGAGGAGAGAGCTCAGCGTTTTCATTAGGGTGGACACAATTTTATTATTTGTTCATTTCAGTACTTAAAAAGTATATATAGACAAATATGGTAGTCGCCGTAAGTGATCAAATGATAGCCTCAAAAGAGTGTTAATTTTTTGTTAAATGCGTTTTTTTTTTAATTGCAACATGAATATTTTGCTGTTGTTGTTATGCACTTTTAATAGTTATTTTGTAAAGTTGTTTTTGCTTGAGTAAAATAATATGTTAATCATATTTCTTATTAGCAACCTTTATGATATTAGCAAATATCAACAAATTTGTGTTGTAAGGTGAAAAATTTTCTTTGGAAAAGTTGGAAACATTTTTTTTTAACATCTAGACTTTACTTTTAAAGTAAACTTCGAGTTAAAATTTTTATTTCGTAAAAAAAATTTGAAGTGTTCTAGAAGCTGTAGAGAGTTCTGGCCAATTAAAAGTTATCAACATAAAAAATGTAAAAATAAGTCTTAAATGGCAACATGTTTTCCTTAACCGCCAAAATAAATTTTGAGTCAAAAACCGTCAAATTCGGTAATTTTTATATTAATGTGAAGAGTTTAAACCAAAAAAAAATTTAACTCGAAATTTACTTTAATAATCAATAAAAATTTTCCCCTCAGGCTTAGCAAATATAAATTTTTTTTTCGCTCCACCCTACTTTACATGTATTTAAAAAGAAATGGAGTTTTAGCGAATTTAAGGGCTACCCTTATAAAATTATCAGATAATAGTTTAAATCAAGAAAATACGTTAGAAGGTGTAATATCCTTCACAGGTGCATTTTTTATAACATAAAAGGTATAACGTATAAAAAGATCTTTATCTTGAGTTTGAATCGGAAGTATGTATATATTACGGTGTTCCGATAGAAATTTAGATGCATATCTCAAAATTAAGGATCTAGTTCGCGTATATTCAGACAGACAGACATATACACCGACACTAAGTTCGTGACCAACTTCGTAAAATGTCCATTATTTTGAAGCTAGCTTTCTTTTCTTCTTCAACTGCACCCTTGAAAAAATTTAACCACTACGTCGCAGAGTCTACTCCTGGTGGCTTTTTCTCTGCTCACTTACCGACGAGAGCGAAGTTGCTGCAGAAGAGGCGCAATGAGCTTTTTCACGGATGAATCAAAGCTCGATTGACGGGTTTTTTTTCTTTAAGGAGCTCTCTGTTAAGTTTAGTTTTCGACTACCGGATCATTGTAGTGTTTTTCAGGTAGACATGGCTATCATTAAGGTAGCAATAAATGTATTGTTTCAAAGGGCAGACTCTTTCTGGGTGTCTAACCACACTATCAATAGCATCACGTTACTTCATTATCAAATTCGTTTGGGTGCCTAGCCATAGCGTAATCGCTGGAGACCGTAAAGCCGATGAGCTACAATAGGCCAATTACATCGTAGTGGAAACGAGTTAGGTCTCCGTTGTCCTCTTGCGTTATCGCACTGTACCTGTGGACCTCGAGTAAAATTAGCTGGCGTTGGTCGCGAACCAGCTACTCTGGGACTGTGAGATCCTTCTGAAATAGATTAGAACGCAGGGGATCTCCTGAACTTTTTGCTCTTTAAAAGGTTCATCTTGTCGCAATCGTTGGAGTTCTTACTGGCCAATCGGCATTCATGCAGTGGAGCTACAATAGATATTTTGTCGGTTGCAAATTGCCAAAGCTGTAAAGAGGAAGGTAAGGTAGAAGCATTTAGAATAGGGATACCAGGAGAGATAGCCGAAACTAATATTAGCCGCCTAAACAAATTAGTGGTTGATTCAAATCGCATAATCATTTTCAGGAACCAGCGTTCTAAACTGTCCAAGTGTGATTCCTGTTGGCGCTTCTAACAAGATCAACCATTTAACCTAATCTAACCTAACCTAAGTTAGGTCTGACATCCTTATACGACCGTTAAGTTTCTATTGATGGATATATGCACATGGTAAGAAAGATTGTACTAATAATGAATCTACTCAAAGGCACAAGACCCCTATCTTCTTAAAGTAGCTACGTGAAATCGAATATTCAACCTAGTGTCGGAGTAAGAAATTCTACCATATATGAGTGTGAAGCTAAGCCTTGAGTGCAAGTATAAGCGGAAATATATGGATATATGTAAGAGATCAGACTCTAAACATATTCGCTGAATAACTCAAAAGCCCCTAAATCTAGTCTTTGTTTATGTACTGAAAATACAAATTTGGAGACTTTTTTCAATCTAAGTGTGGCCGCAATATTTTTTATTATTTTTCCCACTTGAACCACGGCTTTGTTTTAGCAAGTAGAGTTTCTATTATAAATTATATATTTTTACCAATTTGAAATTAGTAAAAATTCTCACATTTTATTTTCTTAGTATTTTTTGCAACAAAACTGTGACATAAGCTTAAAGCTCCAGCTTGGCTTAATAAATCAGCGCTTACTACATTGCCAGCCACTGCAAATGTTTAGTGAGATTTCAGTAGCCTAGAGTATAAATTAAGTTAGAAATTTGTTGTGAGCTGTGTTTTCCTTTGCCTTCCTTTGTCCACGTCTTAGCCGCACGCCTACTCATGTCATGCATCCCATCCACCTCCTGCCCACGATTCCCACGAATTGTAGTTCAAAATATTTATATTAATATGTATGTATATCACTACAGCATTAATAAAATCAAAAATATATATTTGCAACACAATTTCGTTTTCTCTCTTCTCTTCTCACACTCTCTTTGCAGAGATAGCAACGCTAACGCACAAATTCACTTCAGTGACTTTATATAAAAATAAAACGGTACGCTATGCGGCGCGAATGCATGCGATCATCGCCTGTCAAATGGAATTCCAACTCTATCCGATGGATATACAGGTGTGCCCTATATACATAGAAAGCTGTAAGTGGCACCCAATGATAGCTTTCGGCGTACCAAATAATAATTTCATTACGCATTTTCCTGCCTCTTTCCACACTCTCTTTTCCTTTTACTCGCTCTTTCTTTCTCTGAATCTTGCTCTTGCTCACAGTCTCATCGAATAATCAAAAAGTGAAATTACGTTGGTCCGACTCTGGCGTCACTTTGAATCCCGAGCTCAAATTGCTGCAATACAACCTTGGCCAACCGCTCGAGCTGGAGGAGAGTGACGGCTATATGCCCGAGAAGGTTGGCAATTTTTCACGTCTAACAGTTTATTTCCGATTTGAGCGGCAAATCGGACATCATCTCATACAGACATTTGCGCCGTCATCGCTCGTCGTAATGCTGTCCTGGTTTAGTTTTTGGTTAGGACTCGATGCCATACCGGGTCGTGTAACGTTGTTGGTCACATGCATGTTAACTTTAGTCACCATGTTCACCGGTCTTAGAGCGGATATACCGCCAGTTGCCTATGTGAAGGTGAGTATTTCCGGAAAATTTATTTTTTGTATTTCAACTGCTTGACTCTTGTTGTTTGCAGGCTCTTGACCTATGGATGGCCGGTTGTATGGTGTCTGTATTTGCAGCTTTGGCGGAATTTGTTGTTGTGAAGGTGCTGGATGTTCAATACCAGTATCAAGTGAATAAAATACCGAAAGTGTTGCCAATGGTGAGTATTATTTAAAATAACGTATATTATAAAAGTTTCTTTGGGAGAAGACTTGGATCGGATAACTTATATTTGATATACTTCGACACTTTTTCAGAACTCAACAGATTAAGTTAATTCTCTTTCTCTCTGAGGTAAAAATTGCGTATAACTCTATGAAAGTTTCTCCGAACTGACGCTCAAATACTTTCTGGATGGATACAAATATATGTATATTAGTGCAAAGCTTAGGTTAGGTTATACCGGCTGGCTGTCGAGACATATATAGACCTACAAGTCCTTTGAGATGCCAGATGTAGGTTCAGTTTAATATAAGTTTTCATCATTCAGGGCGTCAACGCTTTGGCGAAGTATGCATACTTTCTATCCGATTTAGATAATTCATCTAGTCCCTAGTTCAACAGCGAAGCTTCTAGTTATCTCAGACGAGTTCCAAATAGGGCTGAACAGAAGCAGTGGAGGTGTTCGATCTTGGCGATCCTGCATGCCATCTCACGCTGATCCGTTTGCCATTCCTTTCGGAAATTTCATTGTTTAACATTTTTAGCGACTTGGGTATTTTCTGTACTGGTTCGGTAGCCAGGCGGATGACACTTTTGGCAATCTCATCAGCTAACTCGCTTTCCGGAATGTGCTTGCGTTCTGTAACCCTGTATATACGCAGCCGCTTTCCTGCTTTTGCCAAGAAGATACTGTAATATTCGGAAAGTTTGAAGGATCACCTTAAATTTAGCTTAGTCCACTTCATCTAGCCATTTCTGATGCGTCCGTATAAATGACATATTGGGTTAAAACTTTTTCTAAATTCTTTTCAGCGCATAAGCAACATGGAAAAGGGTCAATGTGCAACGGTGGCCAGCTGGGAAGGCGGTGCTGTGCGTTCACGCAAATCCACACAAACACCAACAACGCCAGGACAGGTAAAAGCATTAAATAAAATAATTTTTTTTAGAAATTTTAACTAAATTTTACACAATTTACAGACTTCACTGCAGGGCAACGGCGGCCCACCGAAGCCGGCGCGTCGACAAAGTCTTCTGTCGGTGGCCTGGACCGACACCGACACGGGTGTGGAGAAGATAATGTGGCGCGAAATCGATAAAGTATCACGCGCCGTATTTCCCATATTATTTTTCGTTTTCGTGCTACTCTATTGGCCCATATTGCTTATGAAGTCATCCTAGGATTTACGGAGTTCCAGAATACCAAATTCTGGACTCCGCTGAAACCATAATGCCCATATACATATACTTGTATGTATTGCATCGGCGCACACAAACAAAGCAAAATATTTACTTACATACATATGTACACACATATATTTGTATGCATTTGTATTTAGTACGAGAATATGAAACAACAAACACATGCTCGCAAACGCAAAATAGTAGTTAGTGAATATATGCTACAAATAAGTAATGAGTTTTTAGATGAATTAACAAATAATATAATAAACAAAGAACATATTTTAATTGAAAACTTGAATTTTTAAAGAAGTACCGTTTACTTTTAAATTGGAATGTGAATGCTTTTCTGCGCTGCATTTTGTGTAAAATTAAATACGAAATAAATATGTTGCATAGTGTAGACGCGATTTACTCTTTTTTACATATGTATGTATGCTGAAATAATAAATTGTATAAAATTTATGAAACTATGTAGATAAACATGTAATAACAGCGCCTTTAAGTATGTACGTGTATGTATTTTCAGTCGTCAGCATTAAGTTCAACAGTAAGTACGCAGAAATGTAAGAAAAATATATAAAATTTAGTTTTTAAGTAGGTAATTACAACACGATAGGGTTGTTCTAAAATTTCACAAAAAAAATTAAAAAATTTTAAAAATTATATTTATTATTTTATATACATATAATACACATAATATACATTTATATATATTTGTCGAGAAAATATCGATTTTTAAAAATTTAATTTTTTTGCAACAAATATTTCATATTGCATATTTTTTGGTATTCAGACCACATTTGAACTCTAACTGGTACTCTCGTTAAATACAAAAGAGTTGACTTTTTTAAAAAATAAAAAATAAAAATTAACCAGTTAAAATTTCAAAATATTCATATATGCTTCAACACATATGTACAAGCATACATATATTAGAGTAATATTTGTGTTATTATTCATAAAAATATTATATTTGGTGCTTTCAGTAAAGATAATAAAAAAAATTTCCCACAATACATAAAAACCAATGTTGGTTACAACAAATTATGCAACAATTACAAACGCACACACACAATTTTGCTACTACAATTTTTTATATAAATTCATACATATGTAGATAGTTATGTATTGTCATATGCTCCTAAGTGCAACTTAAGGTTCACCATGCAGGCTATTTATTAAAATAAGTGCGCTCAAAAGATAAACACGGAGCTTTAAAAAAATCGAAAAATTATAAATTTATATGTATTTACAAGCATACACAGAATTGTTGGTATTTACACACATTTGCATACATATTAGATGCAATTATTTTAACATACATACCTATGTAACGATTTTAATTTTTTTTATTAAAGTGTATATTTATTTCGGCTGTGCCGAACTATAAAAGAAATTATTAATTATAAATAAATCAAATACTATAAAATTTACAATATTAATGAATATATAATTATTTCACTTTGCTTAGTAGTAGAACTTTGTTTATCAACAGTGTAAAATGTAAAATTTGTGATGGATCAACTGGCAAATATGGTATATGGTGTTCACATGATTTTGTTTCATAAAACCATTCCTTTAAAAGTCATACGCACTTAAAGTATAGAATCAAATGCACTGAGGCTCTGTAATTCAGTAACTGAACATTCATACAGTCCAAAATTCAAAAGTTTAACTGTTTATAGTTCTTAAAGCAATGTTTTTATACAAAAAATTATTAAGAACTTTTTTGTAGAGCAAAATATTTTGTTTTAGAATATAATCTTTTTAAAGTTGTAAGTCAAAAAATCGCCATATTATGAAAACACACGTGTGCAGCTTTCCTGTGGAAGTAACTTTATGCAGTGTTTTCACAAGTTGAGGCGATGGAAGTGCAAGCAATGTTAACATTTTTTTAAAGTAAATTATTTTCTTTTTAATTAATTATCTACAATTTGTTTTTTGTAGCAAAAAAAATGTTCTTTAGAAAATTGCAGATAAGCTTACCAAAACTTTACGAGTTCATAGAGCATGTTTTTAGAACAGTCAATTATTATTGCTTAAATGCTACTTCTTCACAATTACAACACCGTATATTTAATTTATATAAAACTATTTACAATAACATAAATATAAAAAATATGTATTAATTTTTTTTTATAATTATAAAAAACTGGTACGTTTATGATTTCATACTGGCAATACCAAAATTCGCTTAGTTGTTGGTGCAACACTGTATGCAGTTGCTAACCTTTTGACATCGGACAGCTTAACAGTTGCCTTCCAGTTTCCGTTTACGCGATTTCAACTGTAGTTATTTTAACAGTGACTGAGCAAAGAATTAACTTTTATTATATTAATATTTCACTATTTTATATAAATCGTGTATAAATTCGTAGTGCTTGGTGTCTTCTTATGTTGTAGTTAAAAGTAAAGAGTTTTTCGTGTTTTTATAGTGTTGATTTTCTAATTTCAAATAGGGTCTGCATAAACGAGTGTATGCAAGTGTGCAAATTTGTAGTTAAACCGCAAAACTATACCTTTGTGCCAAATAAAAGAAGTGAAACCTCGCAGTCTTAGGTATCAAACAATTTTTTTTTAAGATAATTATTTTTCAGTGTAAAAACAGCTGCAATATATATCACAAACAAATATAGCTGAATTTGAACTAATCATCAATAAAATAACTCCAAAACAATCTCGTTCGGTATACAAATAAAACACAGTTCTTTACAAGTCAATATTTTTAATACAATTAATTTGTATTAAATTTTTACAATTTAGATCGTTCTATAACAAATTTGGGTCATATTTTAGAATACTACACTATGCCGATGACTGATTTCTCATTCTGTACTGCTTTCACTATCACTCTCGTCCTCTTCTTCAAACTCCGCTACAGTTTCGTCGCTTTTCGCTTTAATTAAAAACATATCATCATCCTCCACATTCTCGTCACTGCCTCCATTTGATTGCTTTTGTACCAAATATGCACCTTGTTTTTTGCGCTCCTTGGCAGCATTTAATAAAACACGCATGGTGTATTTATTGAAATCGCAACTGAAATAGTTAAAATTTTCTATAAATTTCTTATATTGAAAGTTATCATTCAAAAAGCTCAACTTACATGCGATTTAATGACTCATATTTCTGCGATAAGCTCTCCTGCAGCGAAAGTAGCGCATGGTGTTGCAACAATTCGCTCTTATTGCCATGTGTGGTTAACAAGCCGGTACACCATTCCAAGTAAAATTCCAAATGTGTGCTAGTTTGTAAACCGCGCGCTAGTATTTGCAGCAAGGAAGGTGCGAATGTCTCAGGCAACGTGGAACAAATCAGTTTTACTGCAAATTAATGGAAATAAAAATTAATTAGTAATATATTACATATGTGTTAGGGTTTAAACTTACTGTCATTACGCGGTATTTTCTCTAAAACCATGTAAATTAGGTGGGGTTCATTAAGTTTGAGCGACATTATGAGCGCTTGTGAAAAATCTTGCTTGTCGACCGACTCATGTATGGATTTTGGTGTCACCTCCAATGAGAGGTGGAATGGATCGAAAACAACACCTATAAAACAAAATTACATTATTAATGTCGGTCAAAAGTGTTTCACATACTGTGTAACATACCTTTATCCAACGAGTATAAACATAATCCCTCAGTGGTGGCCACTGCATACGCTTGACCGGTTGGCATGAAGCGCACAGAAAAAACTTTAATTTTTGGCTTGAAGTTTCTGCTCGCCATATCACCTTTTTGTACGCCAGGCAAACCAATTGCCACGTTGCCGCCCTCCAACTCCTCGCGTGTTTCAACAAGCGCCATATTGCCGAATTCTGTGAGATTACGACGATTTATATACTCCTGCAATTGGATTTGAAAGTTGTTTAATAAAATATTTTTGTTATTTACAAATTAGACACGCACATTTAAACCATCTAAGCTATGATTTTGTGTAATTTCGAATTTCTTTAGTAGCACCGCTTCACGTGCATGATAAATACATATATATTGTGAATTGCCACCGGCTATAATGCATTCGCCATCAACGGAATACTCAATGGAAGTAAAGTATCTTAAATATACAGGAAATATATAGTGATTGTTGTATTAAATTCAAAAATGTTCGAACATACTTGCCCTCCAGGTTCTTCTTGCCCGTTATGACGTCAGCTTCATATCGACCGCCAGCTAAGTCGTTGCGTCCCTCTATCGAACTTATTTGTGTCGCGGTTTTCACATCGAAAATTGTTATATGCCCATTTAGAGTGGCAACTGCAACCTATAATTAAAAAAATATTATTTAACAAACAAAAAAAATTATTAGGTAAAAAAGTTTTATTGAAAAAAGTATTAAATAAAAAAAAAGTTTTATTGAAAAAAGTATTAAATAAAAAAAAGTTTTATTGAAAAAATTAAAAAATAAAAATTTTAATTGAAAAAATTAAAAAAAAAAATTTTATTGAAAAAATTAAAAAAAAAAAGTTTTATTGAAAAAAGTATTAAATAAAAAAAAGTTTTATTGAAAAAAGTATTAAATAAAAAAAAAAGTATTATTGAAAAAAAGTTTTATTGAAAAAAGTATTAAATAAAAAAAATTATAAACACAACATATGTATATATGTATATGCATATAAAAAAAATATTATATAAGAAAAATTATGCATAAAAAAAATTTAAATAAAAAAATTTATTAGAAAAAGGATTAAAAAATATTATTAGTCATAAAAATAGTATATAAAAAAATTATTATTTACAAAAAACTATTATCTATACAAAATTATTGTTAACCAAAAATTATTATGTCAAAATTAATTTTGATAAAAATCATAATTACTATTTACACAATTTCAACTCACATGCTCACCACTCGGACTAAATGTCACACATGTTGCATCGGCGAGCACATCAATCGTTTCATGTTCACTGTTGCTCTCCAAACAATTCCAAACTTTTATAGTTTTATCCCACGAACCCGATACTAGTGTAGTCATTGTGGCTACCGGTGAAAATGCTACCGAGCAGACAGGTCCTTCATGTCCACTTATCACTTCCAGCAATTTACCTAATTTCACCGACCACAAATACATTTCGAAAACATCCTGACAACCGGCGACCACAAATTCACTGGAGTGATCAATGGCCACACAGGAGAATTGCACGCGTTCGGGCGCGCTGAATGTACGGAAATTGCGGTATCTGCAAAGCGAAATATTATATAATTATTTATAGAGTGAAACCATTTTATCAAACTACCTATTGACATCGAAAGCACGCACTGTGCCGTCTAGCGAGGCGCTAACCAAGAAATTCTTAGTGCGACTGAATTGCACGCCAGTTATGCCGCTACTGTGCTCATTGAATGTCACAAAGCAGAAAGCACTTTGGGTATTCCACAGTTTTACTTTCGAATCTTCACCGCCAGTGGCAATATATTGGCCATCGGCTGAGTAGCTTATACAAGTCATTTCACTGCTATGTCCCTGCTGCTTCATAATGTATTGCTCACCTGCAAGTA